CGTCAGCCACCTTCCATTGCTGGATACCCTTAGTGCTTTAACTCAAGAAGGTGGCCAATTTAGACTGAGTTTTGCTTTTAACGTCAATATTTACTGACTGTACTGAGATGCCCGTGGAGAGAAAGAAATCGAAATGCTTATTCCAAAAATTACGAAAGCTGTATTTTTCGCTTGGGCTGGACAATGGTATTAATAAACTATTGTGGTCACCGTTTTGCATACCGCAAAACAGATGTAGTGGAGTTAATTTACATAGCCAAGCACGTAGCAGGCGTTGAGATACGCAATCAAGATCACGTGCTTTATTATGACCCTAAATGCAGGGGACGTAGGGATAGGGAGAGTCAGGCTAGTGCATTATTATCTAAACGCGTCAGAGCAGGCACTGTACTTTTCGCGTTCCGTGAGGCAACACGCAGGACGCCATGCGCGCAGATCTAGCAGATAAAACTTCCGGTATAATATACGCGAAGAAGCTACTGAAACAATGATCAACATGTGTTTTCAGACGGAAACATCCGCAGTAGAGATAGTCTCAAAATACGCTGCGTTTCTGGGATACATTGCGCAATCTGCTGCAAGCTCTCTTGCAAAAATATTGTCTTCAAATAGGGATTTCCAAAGGCAGCATAGATACAAAATAGTCAGAAAGGCCAGATAAACTTACCCTTTTTTGGGGAAACCTCTGCCTTTTTAGATACTACCAATTTCCGCAAAGTAAACGTAGGATCCCCAAAGCACCTGACGTGAATGTTTTCTGAAGGCAAATCATTGACTCAGTTCGGCAAAGGTTCCTATTAACCAAAAACTAAGTAGTCTCCTAGTGCAGTTGATGGAGAATGTTGAGAAACGAAGAACTGTTGACTCTAATGTATTTCAAGACGCGCAATAAGCACCTGTGACAGAGCCACGAGTCCGCAGGCTACGTAATCTTCCGAATTTCATAGTTCTCTTCAGGACTGCACTGAGCCCTCGTTAAATAGTGGGATATAGCTGGAAAAAGATGTTTCACAAGCAGTCTTGAGAAACCATAAAATCTGCATTGTGTACGTTCTCAGATCGCTGACAGTATCAACAGTTTAAGACCAGCAGATGGGATAGTAAGGACCCAAATCTCAAATGGCATTCAAAAGAGTGCCTCTATTCCAGAGTATATTGAAGCCATATGGTGATTTGCACACAGGGCGTACTGACACTCAGATCTGAGGATTTTTGGCGACAATACCAGCATAGGTATGCGCAGGGCTAGGTCAGGTTGGAAAGATTAGAGCGTTGATAATAGGCAAAATTCGATTGCCCGGTGGCATTCAAAGGGAGGGAAAGGCGTTAACCCGGAATGGTTTAAATTTGGGTTTAACGATTTTGGAATAGGAAATCCGATCACCTGCAGCCATGGCAGTGTCTGACTAAAGGGTCAAGCAGCAAGCGATGTAGAAATAAGCTGCAATTCCTAACCAATAATAGTCGGCCATTGTTTACCAACTTTTATGCAGCTTTTGAGGGTACAATTACGTCAGAGAAACCGGTTAAGTATCAGTCGCCCGCTCCAAGGTTGGACA